AAGCCACTTAGAGACAGGGCCAAGCCCCAGGTGCCCCCCATGCCCCACTCCTCGCTGGTCCACAGACAAGCCCTACCCTCTTCTGTGGGCACATTTCAACCTCACCAAATCAGCTAATTATTGACAGTTGGTGAAGAGGAGATTTCACTTTTTCCTCCTGTTAAACTGCTCCTAATTAGTTCCCTGTCACCAGGGCTGGCTCGCCCGCCGCCCGCTCGCGCAGTAATCCCGCTGCACAGTGCCTCATTAACCTTGTGCTCCTCTCCTGCCGCCTGCCAACGAGATGACGACAAAAACAGATTGTCGAACAATGGCTGCGGCTCGTTCTGCAGCCCCGTCCCCCAGCCCCGAGCTCCCCGGGGACGAGTGGGGGAGAGCCCGAGAGAAATCAAGGAGCGGAGAAAGAGGCACAAAGAATGAGGCAGAAGCAGACACAGGGACGTGGGAGGGGGCCTGGTCCAGGCTCTGCTTCTCACTGGGAAGACCAAGGTTCACTCAGCGGGGTTGGAAGTGAAGCGCTCCCAGGTAGGGAAGCAGCTGTCAAAGTCGGAGGGTCATCGCCCCACCCAGCCTCTTGCGCAGTGAAGCCCATGGGCCGGAGACTGCGTCCTAGCCTTCTCACTCCTGGGACCTGAGGCACGGGTGTGCGTGTGTATGTGGGGCAGGGGAAGGGAGGACAGGGGTGACCACACTTCTGATACCCAGAGCCTCTCTGCCCGCTCCGCAGAGGGCAGAGCCAGAGAAGCCACCACAAATCAGGCCCTGCCATGCCACAGGGAGGACCCCACACCTACCTGACCTGAGGGGACGGGGCCAGCTCTAGACAGTCCTCTCTATTGTTTACATTGTGGCTGGCACCATCACCTGACTTTCTGATTTATTCAGTTTTGGTCTCCAATACCTGAATGGAGACTCCGAAGGCTATGGGGCTATTACATGGCCCTCATGGTTCCAGGAAGAGGAAAACACCCCAGTCTCTATGAGGTAGGGGACAGATTCTGGGTGCTGATTGGGTCATCTATGCCTGCAGAAGCCTGGCTGAGCGGGCCTTGGCCAGTGCCCCACTGTGGCTAGCTTCCAGGTCCTGGGTCCAGTCCACTAGGACAGACCCCTGTTCCCTGCATGGCAACAGGATGGGGGGGCCCAGAGGGAGGCCTGACCCTGCTCCTCAGTTCTCACACCTAAGTTCTAAGGAGGTTCCCTGTCCCACCTGTTGGATGGCTCGCTAGACTCTGCCCCTACTCTTCCTCAGCTCTGCGTTAGAAAGCAGAGGCTCACACTCCAGGATGTTCCTGGGAACATGGGCACCGACTCCCGTGAAGAGCAGGAGGGCTGGGAAAGGACACTGGAATGTTCTACTGGTAAATTAGCAGCAGGTGGTCTGAGCACTCTGGTGCTCACACTCGGGCCTCTTTCATAACAAGGTAAGGGTGGGGTGGAGGGGGTTGTGGACTCTACCTGGGTACAAAGCCCGCTCCCTCACGACGGACTATGGGTCCTGGGCAAAGTTCTTAACCTAATGTGCCTCAGTTTCCTCATTTACAAACGAGGACTACTGGTACCTACTTCACTGGACTCAAGTCCTGGACCCCCCTTTCTCCACCACAGCTGATAAGGCCCTTCTTCTCATGGGACCAGGAACCCCACAGAGTCGTGCCTTCCTGCCTTGAGCTATGAGCACTCCCTCCCCACACTGCCCTCTCTCCAAGCCTCCAGCCCCCCATCTCCTAGAACACCCCATGAGCAAAACTCTACTGTTTTCCCATAGCCTCCGAACCCTGCACACAGAGAGCTGACCATCATGGCGCTTCCCAGACTGCCACGTCCAGCCGCATCACCCAGGTGCCAAGTCTCACTCCTTCCAGTCCCCTCTGCCTAGCTCAGTCTGAAAAGAGCCCCTCTTCTTCGAAATGCCCTAGTCCTCAAAATTCCCATGACATCTCTCTGGGACCCCCTGCACTCCCCTTTCTCATTGGCATTTCTGCCCCCACAGTGACCTCTCCTTCCTTGACTTAAGTCCCCTCTATGCTCTGAACGCTCCGTATCCCCAGCCCGAACCTGTCCCCAGAGCTGCAGACACTTGCATCTCACTGCCTGGGTGACCTCCCTGGACATTCAGTAGTAACTCAGGCACGAAGTGCAGTAGAAGGACTTCGTCCAGGAGGGCCTGCAGAGTAGACACGCCGCCTGGACTAGCAGACGCTTAGTGAACAATGGTGCTTATTATTATTTGCAATTTTGACCATCTCAGTAGGCATAAAAACTGATTTGAAAAGAGCATACAAAACTCTCTCCTAGGAATTGAAGAGGGGGGGATTGAAGTCCTTTCCTTAACTGGTGGGGTTAGTGAGTTGGAAACCCTATGCCAATCACTGCAGGTCAATCCTTTTAGGAACCAGCTCCTAAACTCTACCTCCAAGTCCCCCTAATTAATTAATTAGTGTTCCAGCGATTACTTCTGTTGACAACCTCAGTGGCTTTTGGCAAGGTCAGGTCAGCCCAAGCAAGTCCAGACTTATTGTGGCAAATCCCACTGGTTCTGGGATGTGAGACACGATCCCCACATGGCAGAAGAAGTACCTCGTTAGAGAGAATTAATTGGGAAGATGAAAAGGGGGACAAGGTCTTCTCAGCCAGTTGGCTAATGGCCTTATTGCCATGGGCCACACCCAGTCAGGGAGGAGGCAGCTGAGGAGGGACCTCTGAAACTTGTGCCCCTACCCTCCCTTCCCAGAGGACAGCCCTGCTCTGCAATGACTACTCGTCCCAGTCTGGAGAAAGAGGCCTGAGTGCAATAAGAGGGACTTTGGCTGGGTCCCCACCTCCTAATCGGTGACCCTGGGTCCCTAGTCCTCACAGTCCAGCCTTAACACTCCTGGCCCCTTATTTTGGGGACCTCTTTCCACCCTCCTTCTCGGAACTGTCACCCTTCCTACCATGTCTTGGGTCTATCTGAGCAGGGCCAGTCCTGAATGACAAATTCAGAAGTGCCTCTCCCACAGCCTGGGCTCCCTGAGAGCTCGGGTACTCTGGACACCGCGTTGACTCTTAGCCTGGGTCCGCTCCTTCTGCTTGGCTTACCGCCCTCCCAGCCCCGCAGGTTCCAGGCTCCACAGCTGCTTCCGACCTCTTCCCCATCTCCCCAGGGCCCCGCTGCCTCACCCTGGGCTCCTCCCTGAGCTGGCCCCAGCACTTCGGGGTAGCCTCGCCCCCACCTCACACTGTGTCCTCCTTCAGCCTGGTCTCTGTGGACCCTGGCACCACCCCAGGCTTTCCTGACCACCTCCGTCAGCTGCGTCTCTCATCTCCCCACTTACGTCTTCAAACCTCTGAGCCCACCCTCACCCTGTATTCCTCTTTCCTCTCTCTACCGGGTCACAAGGACACAGAAGCCATTAGAACAACTTCCTCACCCCGATCCCTACCCACAGTGGCATCCACCCCTGACTCTTCTGCCTACTACTGTGGGGGGTCTCCCCCTGCAAAAGCTGAGCACCCCCTCTTCGTGGACTCTGCTCTCCCATTCTCCTCTCACCGGCCCCAACTTCCCTCCTGGTGCTCTTCCTTCAGCTTTTACACAAGCTCCAGTCTTTCCCCATTAAAAAAAAAGGGGGGAGGGAATCCATAAATAAAAGCCTCTCTTGACCCCATGTCTTGTTCTAGCTGTGGGTCTGCTGCTCTTTTCTCCCTCCATGCTGAGCTCTCCTACCACCTGGGCCCCACTCATCAGGGACAGTGTTTGCCTTTATTCCTGCAACACCCATGGACACTCTTCAATGTCACGAAGCTTGATCTGGCCAAAGGGTCTGACTCTGTGGGCAGCCACCCAGCCCCTGATCCCACCGGTCCTGGTTCTGCCCTTCCCTCCTGGTAAAGGACCCTGCAGGGCCTCCATTCTCCACACTCTCCCTGGCTGATCCCACCCACCACCCTTGCTCCCAGGACTGTTTCTATGCTGGTGGCCTCTCCTTCCATCCCTCCAGCCCAGGCCTCTTCTGCATTCCAGATCCAAGCCGACCTCTCACGGGGCACCTCTATTTGCTGATCCCCAGCCTATGGGTCCCCTACCCACTTTTCACCTGGCCAACTCCTACCTAGCCCCAGGCCCCAGTATTCCACGGGCTCCTCACATCCCATGTGTCCATCCAACTCACCTTGTACTCGCTCAAACTGGCCTCTCCTCAAGCCTCCATCTTGTTAAGCAGGACCTACAGCTGCCGGTGGTCCAGAAAGCTGGGCAGCATCTTGCCAGCTCCCTTTCCCTCCTACCATGTGTGGTAAGACATCACATCCTGACAAAGCTGCCTCCTAACGCTCTGAAAGGCCCCACTTCTCCCGATGCCCACTGCCAGCAGCCTGGTCCAAGCCGCCATCATCTCTCACTGGACGCCCGCCACAGCCTCCTGCTGGTGCCTTCTCCCGAGCTACAGCCCAGACTCCCGATGCAGCCCAGGGGCCATTCGAAACCAGGAAGCTGTGGTGCTGCTCTGTACAGCCCTTCGGATGGCCGCTCCCCTCTCACCTTGGCTTCTAAGTTCCCAGCACCACCTGGGGGCTCGGGGCCTCTCACTCACTCTCGGCTGGTGCTGCAGACTTTGCTTAGCCTTTGGGGCAGGCCACGGGCTGCCTCACCTCGGGGCTGCCACGCCAGCTGATCCCCAGCCCATGTGTCCCCTACCCCTTTTCACTTGGCCAGCTCCTGCCCAGGCCTGGTCCCCGAGGTGGTGCCACTTCCTGCAGGCCTGGTTTCGTTGGATGTGTCTCCTGCATCTAGCTGAACCCCTCCCAGCCCAGCTGTCCTTGCGTGCTTTGGGGCTACTGTCTGTTTAACCCTGTGCTTACTGCCTGACCCTCCACCCCGAGAGGTCAGCCTGGGTCCGTCTCAGTCATGGTTCTAACTCCAGTCCCAGCACAGTGCTAAGACAGCACTGCATCAGTTTATGTCCATAAACCACCAATCTGCACCCCTCCCCTCCCCGCCCTGCCGACCCCCCACTGACCTCTGACATCTGCGGGAAGAGGCTGATGGCCAATGGCAGGGCCAGGCCAAAGGCTGCCAGGCACACAAGACTTTGCACAGGGAGGAGAAGCCGGGGGCGCGCCTGCAGGAGAGCTGTCCTGTGGGGAGAAGACGGGGCACACCGTGAGACCCGGCCACCACTGGGGCCTGCTCTGTCTCAGGGCCAGGGCAGCCAGGCTCTGGGGCTCGAGCCAGCCGGGAGCCACAGAGGGAGTGGAGTCCTGTTTGGGGCCTTCCTAAGTCAGCACCCTCTCCCTGCCTTGAAGGCACAGCCGTTGAACCCTCGCCAAGTCAAATCCTCAATTACCCTTGTAGGGGCACCAAGAAGGCCACATGCTGGGGAGACCACAGACGAGGCTGCCGAGCCCTGCTCCTGGGGAGACACCCAGGATAGGAAGACCACTCTCAAAGGTAGCACGTACTTAAATGGCAAACAACCCAGAGCAGGTGCAGTGTCTAGGGGAGGAGAGAAAGCACATGCATGTGCATGTGTGCACACACAGCTGGGAGGGGTGATCCTCTTCTGTGGGAGAACAGAAGATACCCCACTAGCTACCTTGTCAACTTCAGTTCAAGAGCCACAGAGAAGGGGAGTGCCTTGGCCAAGACCAGGTCTACGGGAGGCAGACAGAACTGCCGCCTGCCTGGCCCCTGGCTCCCCATGTGCTGTCACTCGCACTCCCAGCTCCTGCCTTCAATACTGCCAGCCTCACCCCAGCACGTCGCAGCTGGCACCGACTCCCCACGGCAGACTTTGGAGGTGGGATGCTGAGCAGGAGAATGGTATGCAAAACCTCCCTCCAGGACTCTGGGTCCTCGAGCTTCATGGCAATAAGGACTCCCCAAACAAAGAAGGGGCACTAAATCAGACCTCGGCTACCTGTCGGCCTCCACTTGCTAGATCCTGGGATGAAGAGGATGCAATCAGGGCTCTTGCCCCTCCACCACTGGGGCAGGACTTTCCATGGCCACAGACAGGTGAGAGGCAAACCCCATACCATCCTCACCTCCTGGGACAAGAATCCCTAGAGCACCTGGCCCTGAGCTGACAGCAACATGGAGAGTAGCAGTTCTCAGACTTCAGTGTGTGTCAGAATGGCCTGGGCAGTGCGTCAAAAATGCGAACTTCCAAAGACCCCTACCACCTCAGATCCTGAGCAGCTGCTCTGAGGCTTGGGAATTTCTTTTGAAACAACCCTCCATGAGTCTAAAACAGACCATCTCTAGACCATTCCTCTGGGAAGCCCTGCCCCAGGATGGTCCTGAGGTATCCATAAAGATCCAATTACTTGTCAATTCTGTGCAAGTAGAAGGTTAGGCAGGCCTGGCACTCAGTAATGAGGTCCTTATTGCTGTTGTTACCTGTGTGAAGGAGGCAGGATCCTGGTGGCCAGCCCTTCCCACTGTTCCAGACCCCAAGGTCTGGCTGGCTGTCGAACCTACCCTGAGCTGAGCGACTGGGGAGGAAAGCTCCCAGAAGATTAAAAGCAGCCGTGAAAGGTACCTACATCAAGCCTGAACCCCTCTGATTGCTAGCCCCCCCCCCAGTGCAGTGTACTCACTCTCCCTGTCTTCCTACTAACCCCACACCCTGCCGGGATCAGCCCAGGGCCTACTGGGTGTCCTTTGGTGTCATGGAGGGGACTGGGAGTAAGGCTGAGACTTCTAAAGTACGCAGCTCACTCTGAACTTGCACACGGAGCCTCCCAGGAGAGATGTGGAAGGAGAGGCAGTGACAGGAGGGTGTGAAGTCCCTGAAGGCACAGTCCTGAAGGTTACCAGGGCAGGAAGGGTGATAGAGGGAAGCTCCCAACCTGGCAGGTGAGAGGCAGCCATGAGATCAGTCCTTGGGATGTCTTGTTGGGGACCATGGACTGATTCATTTCCACTGGACCTATGACCTCCTCTGGGAAGGGGGTCCAGGACGCCCCAGGGCTGTGCTCCCAATTCAAGAGGAAGGCAGGCCCAGCTCAGAGCAGACTAGAGGGGAGAGTAACTACAGCAGGACAGGAGGGGAGGGGGGGAGGCAATGGCAGGAGGGACTAGAACAGCAGTTTAGCTGGGGAAGTTAAAACATGCAGATGAGAAACGTGGGAGAGAGGAAGACTCGGATCCCAGGGATAGCTGGGGGAGCGGACTCAGGGAGCACCATGAGGTCATGTTCTGGAGCCCACCCTGGCTTTGACTCCCACCTGGTGCCTTTGGGCCAGGGACACCGGGCTTGGGGAGACAGACAATCTGCCAATCCAACCCAGGCATTTGCCTCTGAGTTTAGGTCTGGAGCATCGATCCCAGCCCTGGGCCCAAAACTAGCTTCCTCCTCAGCAGGGTAGGCGGCCTGGTGCTGCAGGGAGGACGTGCAGTGTGAACCTCTGTGGCCCCAAGGGGGTGTAAATAGGGTGTGGTGCACCTCCTCAGAGGCAGCCTGGTGGGCTGGGTTCAGGTGGAGGCCTCTCTGCTTCTGCCTTGAAGCTCTTCCTTTCAGTCTGAGAGTCAAGGACAGCTGAGCCTGCTGGGCTTCACCTCTCTTATTCTGGCAGGGAATCCAGGGCCCTTGGCGCAGAGCGCTCCTCCTAGAGAGGATAAACTGAGGCCAGAGGCGAAACAAGCCGGTCCCAGCCCCCGGCCTGGGCTCCACACAACAGCTTGTCTCCCCCATTGCTGTGCATCCCTTCAGCACTTGGAGTGCAGTTTTAGTTTGCGCTCCATTAATTTGCAAGTAGGCTGCTTTGTAAGTGTTCTTTTGTCTTTTTCCTTGGCTGTCCTGACTCTCTCACCCAATGGGGGCTCCCCATTGCAGGCGGCTGCCTCCCCCATCAGCCTCCTCAGCAGAGGCTCTGCTCTGGAAGGCTGAGTACTCAGTGGGGCCCCTGCAAGGGCCAAAGAGCTGCAGGATGGTGGAAAATGCAAAGCCCCAAAGAGCCAGGTGATGAAGGAGCAGTGTCGCCACTTTCTGGGTGGGAAACTGAGGCTGAGGGAGGCTCTGTGCTCTCATCTGAGTGGCAGAAAGTGGTGGAGCAGAGACCCAGGTTTTGTTTTCCTACCGGACGGTCTCAGCTTACTTGGCTATACTGCCTTGCCTCTCCCACTGCACGATCCTGCAGCTCCAGGGCATCCGTGAAAAGCGTTTATCCTGGAGGCCATAAACTGTGTCTTACGCATCAGCATATTCTGGGAGGAACTGGATTGGCCTCTTCCCAGAGACCCTCCCAGTAGCTCCTGGGCAGGACCAACTAAAGACAAGGCTGCTGGGAGCACCAAATGGCTAACCTCTCCCTGCCCTACCTGAGGGGCTTCTTTGGACTCTACACTGAGTCAGACTATGTGGCTCCCCACATGCCAGGCAGATCCCAGGTGGAGAGGTTCAGACCTAGAATAATCTCCACTCCACCTCCCATGACTCCCATGACTTCCAAAGCCAAGTTTAAGCTTCCAAGACAATGGGACACTAACCATCATTTCACTTTCTGCAAACCCAACGAAACACCAACTGAGAAGGCATTACAGACCATGTTTGTTTGTTTTCCTCAGCAAATCCCTGGAGAACAGGTTCCTGATGGCCTTAACAGACCCAGCTTCCCCTCATCCTCACTGTCTACACTGCTTACAGTTTTCAGGAAAACTGTAGAATGTGCTAGGAATGCAACTTCCCAAGATAAGGAGGGACTGTTTGGAACAGCGCTGGCTCTGTTCTGCCCCTTCTAGAACAGGATGGCTGAATGCTTCAGCCCAGCAATCCCAGTGCCCCGTGATATAAAACCCAGGGTCAAGTGCTTCTGTGCTCCCTCAGCAGTGGTGCAATGTGGCGCAAAGACGGACAAGACTCCATCTTCCCTGGGCAGCTCTTCTGAGCCTCAGGGAACCAGCTTGCCATGAATCCTGGGCTTTAGCTGCTCTGTGAGGCTTCTCTGCGAGTTGTAAAGCTGCTTCACTTAACCTGAGTGTGCTATCTCCCCGGACTCACGCAAGGTCCTAGTGTAACCAGTACACAGCTACCCTCCTTCACAATGCCACGGTTTAGGATTCGGCAGTCGTGAAGACAGAAGTCCTACCGTCTTCATGTGCTCCACTGTCTCCTTACGTATACTTGCAGGACAACCTCAGTGTATAACAAGGTCGGGGGCACAGAAGTGTCTGCCCTCCAAGGATCAGTTTATGTTTGCCTATTGCAAACTTCCAGTCAGGTGAATTTTCTTAAGTTGTGGTGTGCAACATGCCATGCCCAGCTCGAGTGCTCCCAAAGGCTCTGCCCTCTTCTAGAGAGAGAGGGATCATCCCCTGGGCTGGGCACACAGCTGGCCCCTCATCAGCTGGCCCCAATGAGCATGCCTTGCTTCATCTAGGCTGGACTCCTCCATGTCCACCCAACAGGCGTGTGCCCTGCCCAGAAAGCCCTCCTTTGTGCAAACATCCTACCCTGCTCTGAGGGTCAGCTGCAGCCCCTCTCTAGGCTCTAGTCCTCCTTGCTGCTGAGCCCATAGTGCTCCCAAGGTCACCCGGGCTCCATTCACACATGGCCCAGTCTCACCTGCAGCTGTCCTGTGTGTGAGTCTTGCTCCTCTCCCTCATAAAAACACAGGCTTCCTGAAGGTCAGGCTCCGAATCTGCTCCTGCCCTGTCTCCACACAGGAGACCCAAACATGCTGATGACACGACCTGACCTGAAAACCCAAGAGCCAGCCAGTGTGGTGTGAGGCCTCTGGCTTTGCAAGCATATTTTTGGGCCAGCCCTGGCTCTGCCATTTCCTAGTCTGACTGCCAGTGGGTGATATACCCTCTCTTCTCCTCCCTTCCCTCGTCCGTACCACATTGCACTGCGATGAGGAGGTGGCACCGGGGCACAGAGAGGATCGGGATGCAGTGAGGACTCTGTATTATAATTAGTATTGTGAGAGTGGGAAGGCCCCGATACTTGAATAAGCCCTTGCCCCAGGACTGTGGGTGTGTTATCCTCAACCCTATCCTTATCCTGTACTGCACCTAATCTCAACTGCTGCCCCACCCCTGCAGGACTACAGGGAATGAGAGGGTACCTAGTCTCTGTCACCTGCACAAGCCAGGGATCTGACCTTCAGGCTCCCTCCACCTTCCATGCCCCTTGCCATTCTGCTAGGTCTACCCAATCCCCAGGCCTGCCCACACCTCTAGGGGGTGGCCCTGGCTCCCCACACTCTGTTCGGCCTCTCCTCCAAGCAGCATTTCCCAGTTCAATTTCATACTCATTAATACACAGAATCACTCTATCATTGCTGTTGATATGTCCCCTTAATTCTTTACGGTTATGACAAATAGGTGTTCTTAGAACTCCTCTCTGAGGAAGGCAGGGAGGGCACTACTATTCCTACTTTATAAGCAGAGAAACTGAGGCTCAGCGAGGCAGCAACTTGCCTTGTGCGGATGGCTGCGAGAGGTGGGGCTGGCCCCATATCCAGCCTTTCTACCTGAATCCTCAGGCTCTGTCTTCGCAAATGGCCCTGTGCTGCTCACTAAGAGAACCCACGTGCATGTACGCATGCGCACGCACACACCGACAGCACACCCAGAACGGCAGCTCCTTGAAGGGCAGGCCTCACAGCATCTAGCACAGGGCCTGTGCAGTCAGATCCAGGCATTCTCACCCAATGACTCTAGTGGCACTGGCTGGGTGAGCATGAAGACGGAGCAGGACACTTGTCACCTCGGAGCAAACAGGCTGCCAGCTGCTCCCACGTCCCCCACCCTGGGCCAGCCTATTCCCCTCCCCTCAGGCCCCTGGTCCTGGCTGCCCCGACTCACTTCTCCAGCATGGACATGACGATCGGGGGTAGCACCAGGATGGGCATGGGGAGGACCACTCGTGTCAGCGCAGTCTCCAGCAGGGCCTGCGGGGGCAAGCAAAGGCTGCAGTGAGAGGGGCTTCTGCTTCGAGGCAGCAAACCCTGCCCAGAGCCCTAGGTGTGTGTGCTGCTAAGCACATCTGGCTGAATGGAATTATTCATGGAATTGCTCACAAAGCTGTATTTCAAATGAGAAAAAAAAAAGAAAAAAAAAAGCCACCCCATCCTCTTACCACAATTTGAAAAGAGCAGATTCCATCACCTGCCATGTGTCGGGGGAGGAGTGGTGACAGAAGCCATCCCAGGAAGGGGCCTGTGCTCAGGGAGGCTCCTCCAATGGGAGAGGGCAGCCTCCCCTGCCCCTAGAGCCTGGGAGCTGAGAAGAAGCTCGTAGAGGACTTGAGATGCTTAAGAGCAAAGCAGGCACTGGAAAGACCAGCAAGCGGCTGAGGTCTACGAGCCACGAGAGGCTCCTGGTGCTGATGGAGGATGGAGTCTGAGAGTCATTATTATTATTGTTTTTTAACACCCCTCAGAGACAAAGGTTCAGCTCTTGCGCCTCCCAGCCCTGAGTGAGTCTGTTTTTAGCAGTAAGAGGTTGGCTTGGTAAGGAGGACATGCTTCTGTGAGTGTCCGCAGGGTTTCCATCTGAGGGCTTGCCTCATCCTGGGGGCTCCCATGCATTTCTGGGGGGTGGTCGCAGTCCAGGGCACAGCTCAGGAGCAGTTCTGTGCTCTGATGGCAACTGTGGGGAGTGCCTCCAAGCTAAACGGGCTCCTGGTTCTTAGAGGAGGCTCAAGAATGGCTCCCAGCCCAGATCCCTGGAGTCTTCCCAGACGACAGCCGACTGTCAGCCTCGAGGAAGCCCATGGCCACGGAAGAGCTTGGGCTTCCTTCCTGGTTGGCACTGTGAGGAGTTAGCCAGGTTGCCCTCCCTCTCAGAGAAAAGCTAGGGTTGGGGCGGGAGGTTGGACTCAGGTAGGAAATTGAGGCTAAATTCCCTCTGATTATGGCTTAGAGCTTAAAATCTCTCCCAGAAACTTGGTGATCAGCCTTAGAAAGGCTTGGGAGAGGGTCCCCCAGCCTGGTGAGCAGGTGCAGGAATGGCAGAAGGGCCTAGAACCAGTGCAGGGAGCAGAGGGAGCAATGATGACATGGCACTCGGGGCCCTACCCCTCATGAGCCACGGAAAGGCATGACTTGCCGTGGGCCCTCCCCAGAGTAAAGGCTTACCAAGGAGGCCTCACAGACAGGCTCAGGTGACGGACAGTGGGTGGACTGAGGCGGGGGCGGGGTGGGGGTGGTGGAGGGTAATGCCTGGTGACCCCACTGCTGACCCCAATCTCACCCCATTCACAGCACTCGGGCCAGAGCTCAGGGTGGCAAGACAAAAGCCCCTAACCACCAACTGGACTAGGCCAGGGAAGCCCAAGGGTGTCCAAGAGGACTGGAATATATGTCTGTGTGTAATGTGTGTGTGTGTATGTGTGTGTGTAATATGTGTGTACGTGTGTGTAATATGTGAGTGTAATATGTGTGTACGTAATACATGTGTGTAATATGTGTGAGTGTAATGTGTGTAATATATGTGTGTATATGTGTGTAATGTGTGTAATATGTATGTGTAATATATGTGTGTGATATGTGTGTGTGTATGTGTGTGTGTGTATATATATATTCAATTACAGTTGCTATGAAACTAGGTCTTCTTATAATGAATATTCTTCCCCAGACTACCCTGGTGACCTCTGTGAGCCTGAAATCCTCCCCCTCACCACACTCCGTCCCTGGTGAGGTCTCACCTGCAGAAGTGCCTATTAACCCAGAACCACAAACCGCTGGCCTCTCGGGCTCCCTCTTCTTACCCAAGAGGATTTGTAGCCCAGGGAGGCAGGGCCCGTGTCCTGGGGAAGGTACAGAAAGCTCTGAGGGAGTCTCCTCTGCCCCCACCAATTAACACCTTGAAGGGGCCATCAGAGGAGCTGGGACAAGAGCTGCGAATGGTTTGCTGTGGAAGGGGGCACAGAGGAAAAGAGAGGGGCTGTCCAGGGAAACAAGCGAGGCTGGGGCCAGACGTGAGGCTGGGGATGCAGTGGGAAGAGGGGCAGGGTGAGGAGACAGCAGGGCACAAAATAAGCCTACTGTGGCTAGAAGCCCCAAGGGGTGAACACGGTAAGGGCAAGCCCGTCCCGCCTGTGCTGGCCTCCCCGCCGGCCCCTCGGACCCAGGGGACGACCCACGTGTCTGGCTGCGATCCTGGAGGAGCCCACGAGGTTGCCATCACCGTCCAGGACGTCGATCCCTTCCTCCAGCTCCCCGTACCGCATCAGGACCACGTTGCAGATATTGGCGCTGGCTGGAGAGAGAGGGGTGTAGGGAGCAGGAGTGAGGGGGGACAGCATTCACCTGGTGGGGACCATCCCCCCCACCCAGAGTGGCAAGGGTGCTGGACAAAAGCAGTCTGTGTTCAAAGGCAGCAGGGGAAGGTGAGGTGTGGCTCTGTAGTCCATCTGCCTGTCAGCTGGTGAGGATTGGGCCCATGGGTGCCCAGTGAGCACAGGTGGGAAGTAACCGGTATAGGGCCAGCCAGTGGCATGGTAATTAAGACTGCTAGATCCCACATGGCTGTCTGCACAGTTCGAGTTCCAGACCCGGCAGCTTGAAAAACATGCCAGGCGCAAGTTTGTGTGCGTGCCCAAAATCTCAAGGGGAGGGAGACCTGGAGAAGGGATTACAGCATGACCAGGCCCCATGTAGGGGGTACTTTCTCCCTTTCCCTCTCTGTTTCTTTTTCAGTAAGCGCATGTGCCCTCTGCCAAAAAATTAAAAAAAAAAAGATAACCGGGACCAGCAGTTGGCGTAATGGCTGTGTCACTGGACTCCCATGTAGTCAACTGGGGTTCAAGTCCTGGACCCGGTGGCTTAAACTCACACCGGGTGTGTATGTGTGCATGCCCAAGATCCCAAGAGGAGAATGGAGGAGAAGGGACGGCAGCATGGCCATCCCCCCTGGGGGTAATTTCTCGCTTTCTGTCTCTCTGTCTCTCTCTGTCTTTCTGGTGAGCACACGCACCCTATAGCAAAAACCTAAATAAATAAATAAACAAATAAATAAATAAATAAAAATGGTAACAGGTCAGGGCTTAGAGAGCTATGGAGGGTGCCATTCTCCTTTCCTCTGGAGCAGGCCTTAACAGGTGAAGCTGGTGCCCATCTGGGAGGCCTCTCGGTCCTGAAGACATCACCTTACTGGGGCCTGAAGTTCCAGCATCAGCAACTCAGCCCCTTGGGCTGCTAGTCCCCACATTCAGTCCAGAGTGGAGCCTCAGAGTGAATCAAATTCCCAGAGATTTGCTTCCCTGACAGCAGGTGCCAGAGCAGGCAGGAACCTCAGTGCTCACCCAGCACCGCCCCCTCATCATATGGATAGAAAACTGAGGCTCAGAGAGGGGGAGTGATTTATTTGAGGTCACACAGCAAAGTGGGACAGAGCAGAAAGGCGACAGTGCCTAAACCTCTGTGTACCCAGAGGATGGGAGGGTTGGAAGGGAAGGACCTTCAACATCCTCTTTTCCTAAATTCAAGTTGCTTCCTTTAGCCCTGCTCCTTCCTACCCCCCCAACTCCGTTGAGACCTTGGGGGCCTGGGCTCAGGGAGGGGTCCTGGCTCCTTAGTCAAACACTGGGTGGAGTCTGGGGCCACCCATCAGCTGACTACTAGCACAGGGACCCACATGGCTGGGCTCGAGCTCGTCCCGGGTGCAGGTGCTCACCTCGCCTGAACTCCTCCAGTCCTACCCTAGGATGGAAGTGGGGGGACTTGGGGGTGGTGGGTGGGTGGGGAGCGGGGGGGGACAAATGTGGAGCCCGCCTGCCTCACTCCTCCCCCCAAAGCGCCTTGCTGTGTTTAAAGTTTTAATTTTTGCTAATTAATGTCAATTAATTTTGTATAATGAGTGTTTAATTTTGGGGAGTGTGTGAGCCTGGGAGCGACTGCAGTTCTGGGCTGTGAACGCTGATTAGCATCAACACCTGCTGCTTCCCCCTCCCTCCAGTGGGGGGGCACCAGGGTTTGGGGAGCTGGAGGGCGGTGGGGCCTAGTGGGCAGGCAGAGTGGGAGG